TTCCTTTTTTTTCTCGCGTCTAGTATGGATAGTTTTGTGACCACTGCTGAAATTAGAACGTTGCCAGATGGGGCTCAGAGGGCAACACAAAGGTGCTGGAACTAAGAGAGGGGGATAGGAAAATTGGGGCCCGGATGGGGAGAAATGGTGAAATAAAACTGTGATAACATTGATCCAAAATATGGATTGGGTCCTACTTCACACGTTTCATGAAATAATCAAGCAACGCGTCCACCAATGAAACCCACGTACACAAAACACAGTCGTACGCGTTCCCAGGAGGCATTTCAATGACGTCATTGTCTGTGCAGTGTTTGGTGTATGGGAGTACCGGTTGTTCGATATGTAGCTGCGGAGATCCATGGCAGGGTCGATATTTCTCACTTCTGTATAAATGCAATTCTAGCAGCGTGACTAAGGCTGGCTTGCAGTGAGTTAGTGAAGTATGCATGCGGTTTGACGCTGTTCCTCCATCTGTATAGCCGAACGTGTGAGTCATTTTACGATTTTAACGTTTATTTTAGAGGCTGTCACACAAAAATTGAGGCAGCCTGCACTAGTGGTACCAAGCCTGATGGAAGGGCGCTGTTGGGCACTTTTGTTTCTTTTCCTTTTTCTACTTGTTCGTTCTCTCCTTCTTTTTTCTATTTTCCAGTTCTCTCTGTCCTATTTTCTATTTATTTCTAATATAACCAAGAAGCCTGAAGAACAAGAGGGAAAAGTTTCTCTTTGGTGAGAGCGCGTGCTCAAATGACTATGCTATATACGTATATCGAGTTTCGCCTGTGTTTCGCCCAAGGACAGAGAGAGAGAGAGGTAGACTCAATTAATTTCCGGCAGATTGCTGGGATGGGCTCCCACCTAGGGACTAACGGAAAGACCGTGTCTCCCGGCTGCTTCCTTGGCCTGCTGGATCGCCCAAAGTTGCTTGTCCAGGCCGGAGGTGAGCAGCGCAGTCCGCCAACACGCCCGAGGGTCTTTATTGGAGGTCGCGACCCGAGAATTTCTGACTAATGCTAAACATTCCCATAAAATATGGTCAAGGATGGCTCTGGTGGTACAGTACTGGCATAAATTAGAACTATAGACGTCGGGATATACGGGGTTCGTGTATGTGCGTGTTTGTAGCTGCCGCCATTGAACGGACTGGCCTGATTTAGCTTGGGGTGAAGCGGAAAGTACTCCCGCCTTTGCAGTCGATAGCGTTGAGTTATGTCATTAAATTTAATGAGCCGATTGTCCCATTCCCACACCGGCGCAGAAACGTCCGTTTGGGTGACCACTTAGTCTGACGTGACTCGGAACGTAAGACCTCGAGCCACGTTGTGCGCCACTTCGTTCGGACTGTCCTACGGGTTAGTGGTGTGTGGGCAGGGGACCGCAGGGTGTGCACGTATTTGTCCGCCTTGTGAATTTTGCCTGTACTAAGAATGCGCAACGCCTCGGGGGAGATTCTGCCACTGGCGTATACTATAGTTTCATACGGCTGTCAGCGAGTCGCTGATTACACATGAGGCGTTAGTGTGGGCTATGGCCTTCGTGATAGCGACTTCCTCTGCCGTTTCTACGTTCTGTCCGATGACTGACGCGCTGCTTTTGCATTGTTGTGTGTGGTCTACGACAGCAGCGACGAACCGGTGACGTTCCTGGTAGCGTGCTGCGTCGACAAAGACGGCCTCAAGGTTGCACCCAAACATCTTTGACATGACTCTGGCTCTGCAGACACGTCTGCCCTTGTTGTGTTCAGGGTGCATGTTTCTTGTTATGGGTAGTACTGTGAGCTTGGCACGGATAGTGCGCGGTATGTCGTGTTTGTCTCCGTGTTGAATGTGGCAAAAAATACCGAGATTACATAGAATCTGGTGGCCTGGCTTAGTCTTGGCTAATCACTCGAATTGGGAGATTTGCTGCGCCTCAATAAGTTCTTCAAGGGTATTGTGTAAACCAAGTTGAAAGAGAAGTTTGGTGGTGGTGTTTTGAGGCAGACCTAGCACTTGTTTGTAAATTCTCCTAATTAGGCTGTTGAGTTTTGACTTTTCTGCAGTGAACCATCGGTGGTACGCCACCGCGTAGGTGATGTGATTCAGAAAGAATGATTGGATCAAACGGATGATGCTATCTTTTTCATGCCTTTGTGTTTATTGGTAATGCGCCTAATGAGGCACATCGTGTTAGACACTCTGGCTTCAATGTTGCGAACTGTCTCTCCGTCGGTACCCTTACTTTCTATGATCAGACCTAGCACTCGGATTTTATCCACGGCTGGTATGGCGAGACCGTAACTTGTAGTGATTTTTGAATCGGCGTGTGCCTGCACTTGGGGATGTTGTTTGGGCGGCCGACCTCTAAGTGTAGGGCGATGTAGCAGTAGCTCAGATTTTTCCGCCGAGCAGGATAGTCCAGTTTCTTGTAAATACCTTTCCACTGTGTCAATCCCCACCTGTAATCTCTGTTCAATGAAACCGTCACTGCCGTCGCACACCCAGAGGGCCATGTCGTCGGCATAACTGATGTGATAAAGTCATTGGATGGTTTGTAGTTTTGAAAGAAGACCAATAAGGGTGAGGTTAAACAACAAGGGAGATATCACAGAACCCTTCGGGGTGCCCACGCTTGCCATGGGGATTTCGGTCGACCTGAGTGCTCCCACAGTGATCGTGGCTATTCTGCCCATAAGAAACGCTCTTATATAGTTGTACGTGCGAAGCCTCAAGTCTGTGGTATTGACCTGATTTAGAATGGTGCTATGAGGGACAAAGTCAAAATACTTCTTGAGGTCTAGACCAAGTATGCCCTTAGTGGAACGTCCTGTACTGTCTATGACATGATGCTTAAGCTGCAACATGACATCCCGCATGTGTTGAAACATGCGTGCGGAAGCCAATAATGGTGTTCGGGAAAAACATTATTGTCCATTCAGGGCATCAGTTTGTCTATGCAGGATGTTAAGAAAATGGGCCTAAGATCATCAGCGTTCAGTGGTTTGCCTGGTTTCGGAATCAGAATCACCTGGGCCTTTCTTCCACCGTTGGGGCAAGATTACGGTGTTCCAGCAGTTATTAATGTAGTCCGTGATATGCGTGATCGACTCATCGCCCGAATTACGTATTTTTTGTTCGTGATGTTGTCCTGACCTGACGCAGATTTGGTGTTAAGTTTTTGTAGGGCGGCATGGATATCCGCTTCGGTGAATTCTTTGTCTAGAGTGGTGTTGACCTGGCCCGTATAATCTGGATGCTGCTGAGTAGGAGCCTGAAAAATGTATTTGAGCTCTATCTCCCTGTGAAAATCTTCGTCGGTGCCCTTGTATGCATGGATTAGTTTGCTGATGGTTCCTCGTTGGGAGGTTTTGTTGTCTTCCGGATCGAGCAGGAACCGTAGAAAATGCCATGTTTTACTGAGACTTAGCTGCCTGTCCATCACATCACAGGTTTCATCCCCATGTTGCCGGCTTAGCTGCGTTGCACACATCTCTATCTCTGTGTTGAAGAGTGCTATGCGTTTCCTGAGGCTTCTGTTGTGTTTCTGTGTCTTCCACTTCTTTTGGAGCAATTGCTTTGTCTCCCACATGTGGAGCAGCCGGCTATCGATCTCTTCGAGGTGCGCCTCGGGAGGTACGATTCGGTGGAATTATTAATATCCTGTTTAAGCGTATGTATCCAGTCCTCTATGTCGCTGATGGGTTGAACCTGATTCTCACATAATTTGCGGAACTGGGTCCAGTCTACCAACCTTACCTGTTTTCCTAAGGGTTTACGTGGGCCACCTTGAACATGTACCTCAATGATGTAATGGTCGCTGCCCAGGTCCTCTAATGTATTTTTCAAGGGGACTGCAGATGTGTTTCTCGTGAACGTCAGATCAGGCGTTGTGTCTTTACTGGAGCTAGTGCCCACACGTATGGGTGTGCTATGATTAGTGATGAGAGTTAATCCCTCCTGCTGCGAGTCAAACCAGAGGGCCCTACCTTTAGGGAACACATGAGAGTATCCCCAGGCAGTGTGTGGTGCGTTGAAGTCCCCCGCTATTAAGATGCGATTCCGGCCAGCGATGTTGAGGGCGTGTTTAAAGAGTGTGAGAAATCTGTGCTTCTTGTGTTTAACATTGCTGTATATGTTTAGTATAAAAATACTTCCATGTGTGTTGCGTTGCGGAACGAGTTCAATAAATATATTGCCTATATTGGTAATTTCCGTGCTGTGTTGCGTGAATGTAAGGTTTAGTTTAACTAGGGTGGTAGGGGCAGTCGTCTCCACATTGGCATTTCCAAACGAGTGATAGCCTGCCAATTTAGCGAGATAATGCGTCTCCTGCAATAATATGATATCGAGCTTGACTTTCCCCTTAGGGTATTGGCGAAGATTTGCCTGCTTGCTCGCGTAGCTTCTACAATTCCATTGCCAAATCGTGTAGGCGTGGTATAGATATGGTGAGACGCAGGGGTAGGAATGTCGCCGGCTGTATCACACTGAATGCCGACGAGGAAGGTTGCTTTACAGTCGCCATGGGGTCCAGTCCGCTAGGTGGCAGAGGGGTGACTCTAGCCTCCACAGCGATGAGTCGCTGTTGTATGTGTTCGTTTTGTTGCTGGGTAATTTCAGCTATATTCTCTACGTGGTCAGAAGGGGCCGAGATAAGTCGGGATGAGTTGCTCATCCACTCATTTAATTCTTTGACTGATTGCAGAATTTCTTTCGGGACTTTAGTCTCGGGCGTCACGCGTGTGGGTTTGTCTTCATTGGCCTGAGTTTCGGCTCTGCGTTTGGGTGGTGGTGGTGTTGTACCTTCCTTCATTTTTTCAGTGGGCGTAACAGCTAAGAGCGGCGGTACTACTGGTGAAGCACGTTCCCTTCGCTTATAATGGTGTAACTTCTTCCTGAAGGTCCTGGTTTTCTCTCCTAAAGCTGTGATTTTCTGGTTTCAATGAGCTAATATCTGTTTTAGCTGTGATATTTCAGCCTCTAATTTATCAAGTTTGCCTTGAGAAGTGGCCTGCTCAGGTCCCGAGCGCGCTCCCCTGACTACGTCTGCACAGCCCACTTGGAAATTAGCGCCAGGTCCAGGCGCACGGCTCCGAGATGCTGACTGCGACCAGGAGCGGCGCTGGAAGCGAGGCCGCGACCGAGACCAGGACCGAGATCTCGACCAGGCTCCTTTCCGGGCTTCCGGGTAGAAGTTGTGACCCGCTACTCGAGGCTGTTGTCGAAAGGCGTTGGCTTTGTCGGGTAGTCTTCATATTGCTGTTGTTGTCCCATCGCCGGCGTTTCAGCAGCTACGGCGTCTTTTAACGTGCCCTGCACGCCTTCTCGGCCGTCTGGTGGTCACCGCCGCATAGTTGACAAGTGGGCTTGCATTGGTGATCTTGCGGGGGGTAGGCCGTACAACAGCCACGGCACACATGGTCTTTCGGGTTTGGGCATACATCTGCGTGGTGCCCCAGGCGACCGCATTGATAACACGTGTCTATCTGCTTGCGCTAAAGAGAGCACCTCAACTTTGCTCCACCGTATTGAACGTATGTTGGGACGCGAAGACCAGTGACCAGTACGATTACCATCGTTTTGTTGCTGAGGCGTTTTGCAGCGATGGCTGTGGGGTTCTTTGTCGTAATCACATTATCTGTAATATCTCGGGTGGTATCTTCCAACAGGACATGACGTGTCACTTCTTTTGACGTACCGTCTGGTGCTGCTTTGTATGCGCTGGTATTGTACGTGTTGTTGCCGACCACAATGCGAGAGATTTTCTTAGTATCTATCAGTATGCGCCTCTATAGAGATAGATAGATAGATAGATAGATAGATAGATAGATAGATAGATAGAAGATAGATAGATAGATAGAATAGATAGATAGATAGATAGATAGATAGATAGATAGATAGATAGATAGATAGATAGATAGATAGATAGATAGATAGATAGATAGATAGATAGATAGATAGATAGATAGATAGATAGATAGATAGATAGATAGATAGATAGATAGATAGATAGATAGATAGATAGATAGATAGATAGATTACTGCGCTTCACTAGCTAAGGCGTTAACATGTAAACCGATGTTATTTCTGGTATTTTAGTGATACTATAAAATGGCAGGTGTAGAATACGTCAGATCGCCCTTGCTAGGACTGATCAAGATTTTCCCGCAGCACACTACAACCTGCAGCAAGTTAGCAGAAAGTGATTAAAGAGGAAATGATGGTGATCATGATGGTGGTCGTGCTTCTGCTGATGATGATGTTGGCAGTGGCGAAGACAATGATTATCCGGATGACTCATTCTCCGCCGCTTATATATTGCTTTCACATCGTACTTCTCACGAACAACGAGATGTTCCCGATTTTTTATTTGTTTTTTTTTTCTGTTTGTTAAGAGGAGCAGTATGCTCACAAATGGGGTAATCACTCCTAAAGTGAAGACGTAAGTTTAGCTCACAGCAACGGAATCCGAAGACTATACTGAAAGCAGGGGAAAGCAAGAATTTCTTTTACTACCTCAATGCTGCTCAAAGTGGTTAAAGTTTAAAACAAAAAAAGTTAGTGGCAGCGGTGGGATTCGAACCCACGCCCCCGAAGAGACTGGTGCCTTAAACCAGCGCCTTAGACCGCTCGGCCACGCTTTTTTTTTCTTTATTGCCTTGCAAATCATGACTGTTCACATTTTACATATTTACATATTGGTCCATATTCAAGTGCGTCACAAAATACACCCACAGAATTCATTGAGGTACCGTCAGCTCTTGGCTGACTATTAATCAATACTTGGGCATTCGTAACAATCGCTCAATGCACCCAATCCAGTCTGGCACATCCTCTTGGCTTTTCAGCGTTTCAAGAAAATGGCACACAGATTTGCAAAAATATTGGCGCACAGCTAGCACTTCTACATCCGCGTTTTCAAAGGCACATCGGGTTTTCCATATACTGTGCAGGCCCAGAAGCATGATAAGATCATAAGGTACACCTGCCTCGTTTTTAACCGAAAGAAAACGGATGCCATGTGGACTTAACGGTAATTCTTTTTTCAAGGTTCTTTGCAGTATATCCCAGAAAAAGACCCCGCTCCAGCAATCTATAAACACGTGTTCAATTGTTTCCGGTTTATTACACAAGTGGCAATTTGTGCTCCATGGCACGAATATTCCCTTATCCTGCAACCACGTTTTAACTGGTAAGGTACCAGTATGTAATTTAAAGAAAAAAGTTTTGACCCCTGGCGCTACAAGCATTCTTTTAACACGTTTCAGAACATCCTGTCCTGGGCCTGCACAATATAGCTGACGGTACAATGGAACAGGCAGTAAAACATCGACAAGGTCTCTATACAATTTTTTACGTGGTACTTCAGCCAGATACTCTAACGAAAATCTTACTGACAAAAAGCGGAAAGACGAAATAACTTCTTTTAAATACCCTTGTATTGGTCCTTGCATATTTGATGATGATACGAGAAATTCCGGCAGCACTCTAGATAACCTTAGTTGTATAACAGTTCTCAAAAAGGGGTCATCCACATCACGCAGAAAAAGGAAACGATTGACAAGTTGTCTTATGTACAAATGAACTAATCCGAGTCCACCATCTCTAACTTTTCTGAAAAGGTTTGTGCGGCTTGATCTTTCCCATACAGAGCTCCATATGAAAATTGCAAATACTCTGTGTATTTTCTGTACACTTATTCTACTGCAGTGCAAAACCTGCATTACGTACCACAGCTTGCTCACCAGAAACAAGTTGCATGTTGTGGCCCGTGCGAATATCGAAATACCCCAACCTTTCCATTTTTCTACATCATTGCGCAATGCCTGTGTTTCTTTTTTCCAATACGGTTCACTGTCATGATAGAACTCCAGCGGCACTCCTAAATACTTCACTGGTGTTTCCTGCCATTTAATGTTTAGAAATACTCTTGGCGTGACGTCCCATTCCCCATGCCAGAAGCCAAGGCACTTATCCCAGTTCACGGCACTACCACTCGCCTGGCAAAAAGTTTTCACGGCATTTACAGCATGCATTATACTCTCATAATTTGTACAGAAAACTGCAATGTCGTCTGCGTATGCGAGAAGGCTAACCTCAGCTTCATGCAGTTTAAAGCCGCTTATTGCAGGGTTATTAATTACGCTTAAGCAGAAAGGTTCAATGAAAATAGCAAAAAGCAGGGGCGATAGTGGACACCCCTGTCTCACTGACCGCAGCACAGGTATACGCTCACCCGCAGTTTTATTTAATACCAATCTCGTCGTGCATCCAGTGTAAGCCATGCGCACTCCTTCGCTAATCAAACTCCCTACGTTAATGTGCTCAAGTAATGAAAGGAGCACGTCCTGCGGCACGCGATCAAATGCCTTTTCGAGGTCAATTTGAAGCATGGCAACATTGAGATGCATAACGTCACAACTTTCTAGGATTGATCGTGCTATGTTTATGTTGGTCATTATTTTCCTTCCCTTTATGCCACAAGTTTGGTGGGGCCCAATCAGTTTTGTCATAACTGTCTGGAGTCTTCTGGCCAATATTTTCATCAATATTTTATAGTCAACATTAGTTAGGCTAATTGGTCTATATGCAGTAACACTTCTTAACTTCGCGGGATCTTCTGTTTTAGGTATTAAGACCGTGTGGGCTGACAAAAACGATGGTGGAAGTTGTTTACACTTAAAAGCCTCGTTAAATACCTCCCTCAAAATAGGTGAAACTACGTGTTTGAATTCCTTGTACACTGCAGCACTAAGGCCATCTGGTCCTGGAGACTTACCATTGTTTAACTTATCAATTGCTTTTTCAACTTCTCGCTCTGTTATAGGCAATTCTAAAATTTTCTTTCTTTCGTCATCAAGTCTTGGCATTAATGAAATGAAATCGCTATTAAAATGTTCTGCGTGTACACTGGTTGGTGTGAATAACTCTTTGTAATATTCGAAAAAAGCACCGGCTATTGCTTCTTTCGTATGGCACCTTGTTCCTTTATATTCTATTTCTCTTATTTCATTCTTACAGGCATGTATCTTCTCAGCTCCAAGAGCTCGTTTTGTTGGCATTTCTCCCGCTACCAAGTTTTCTGCTCGAGCTCGAATCAATGCTCCACGATAACGTTCTTGGTCTAACAACTCTAGCTTCTGTTTAGTTATGTTTATCTCCTCTGAAAATGTTCCGGCCTGAGTGCATTCATCCGCTACTAACTGTTGCAAGTTTTCACGCAAACGCACTTCAAGTTCTTTTTCAGCATGTCTCAGGATACTGGCTCTCTCAAGTGCTTTTAGTTTAATGGTCTGTTTAAATATTTCCCACTTATGTCCCCAGGATTCAAGTGTTCTATTTGCTAAGTCTTCTATGCCCTCTAGAAAAATCCGATTAAACTCTTTATCCTTTAGTAGCTTTACATTAAATTTCCAGAGGTCCCAAGAGAAATGTTTGTTATTCCTTTTATGTTTACCCATTGAGAATGAAACCAAACAATGATCACTAAACGTAACAGGTGTAACTCTGTAATCATGGCACGAAGGAATGATTTCGGAAGACACATATACTCTGTCAAGTCTAGCATGGCTTGAACGCTGAAAGTGGGTAAACATAACCCCTTTTCCACTGCAAAGACATTCACCCACGTCCTCTAGCTGAGCTTTCGCCACCATATCAATTAGAACGGCAGTGCTTAAATCTCTGTATGGCCTGGAACTTGATTTATCTATACTCGAACAAACGCAGTTGAAATCCCCAGCCCAAATTAGTTTACGTTCACATTTTAAATACACATCAAGTTTTTCAAAAAACTCCTTTCGATCTTGAATCACAGTGGGTGCGTACACACAGATTACTCTCCATTTTTCTCTTGGTAGGGATAAATCACATATAATAAAACGACCCGCCTCGCAGGTAGTTACAGACTCCACTTTCGCATTAAGGCTCTGCCGAATTAACAAGAGGCAACCTGCAGATGTACCCACTGCGTGACAAACGCACACATCAAACAGTCTCGTGAAAGGCTGCACCATTCGCTCAGCGTGCTCTTCACTCTCTACTTTAGTTTCCTGTACAGCGACGATGTCCAGATCTTGTTCTATAATCAGGCAGTAAAGCTGGTTTTGCCGCCGTTTGGCAGAAAGCCCACGTACATTTAGCGTCGCCAATCTAATCGTCACCATCGTGATGAGAGAAAGCCGAGCGAAAG